ATAACCATTAGATTCTGTTTGATCACTTTGTGGTCCTCTGTTTGTCATGGATCCATTGACCTCTGTTCTGTGCGGAGCAAAGTGTTGTACGGAGCTAAGTGCTACACTATTGTGGGAGCCACCTCTAGAATCCGTACGAGCCACCTCTTGAATCCGTGCCTCTGTTCTGTGCGGACCAAAGTGCTGTGCGGAACTAAATGCTACACTATTGTGGGAGCCACCTCTAGAATCCGTACGAGCCACCTCTTGTCTTTCTTTTGAGAACTCTTTTCTTTGTAACCAAGTGTTAACTTGGAAAGCTGTAAGCCCGTAGGGCATTTGCTTTTGTTGATTAACATGTAATAATTTTGTTAAGAACTACTCTGATGAACAGAAGAATGTTTATCTTTATTACGTATGCATGTCTATATTGATGGGTTTAATGTGCTATTTGAGGGCGTTACATTCAAACAATACACAATATCAATATCAATATTGTGGCCTAATTTTTACTTCTTCTTTTGTTTTTTGAATCCAAATTTTGTTTTTTGTTGTGGTAGTGCGTTGGCTGCTTCCCATGAGCAAACCAAATGGATCCAAAAAGGTTGGTTCATATTTTGCTTATAAGAGGATTTGAATAGTTAGAGCTATTTGAATTTATTTTTATTTTTTTTTGTGTTTTTTGTGTTTTTTGCAGCTGCTATCCATAGCATTTCAATGCACCATGTTAACCCATTAAAGGTATCCTAATTCTTTAATAGGATGCTTGGCTTCCATTGGGAATAAAATTGTTCAATCTGTTTTTAGTTTATAATTTTTTTTAAAATTTAATATTGTCATTTCTAAGTTACTGAAAATGATAAATGATAAAAACATATTATTTATTTCTTATTGCAGAACATTTGTTTTGTCATATGGTTGCTTGGTCTAATTATTAGTTCCCTAGTGCACAATGTGTGGATGCGACTCTTAGTACTCAACACATGATCAAAGATAAAGGAGGAGTTGGCATCATCAAAGGACATGTCTCACCATCTAAAACCTCAACATCCATAGATGAGAGCACTCAAGATTTCAAGGCTAAGGGTAATATCACTTCATCTTCTTCTTTGTCTCATAATTGTGTAACCAAGAGTAAATTCATTCCTATTTGACATCATTGTGGGCTTACGGGTCACATTATAACTCATTATTTTGATTTGCTTGAGACCAAATATGAAGCAAGGTTGAGGTTGCCTAGACCTTGGAATAGGAGGTTTGAAACCAAGTCGAGACAGGTTCCTATTGAAGGGGAAGGGAACCACAACGTCAAAACGCCACCCAAGAATCGTAATTCACATGGCTTTGTCCATACTAAAATGGTTTAGGTGAGGAAGCTTGACTTGGGTTGACTTGTTGATTGTTTGTTTGTTTTTTTGTGTTTTTTGTTTTTCTTTCTTGTTTTTTGGTCTAGTGTGCTTATGTTGCTTTTTATATTCTTGCTTTATTTATCAAAAATTCAAAAAGATTTCCCTTATATGGTTTTCAAATTTGAAATTTTTGGGAAGTTGTTGGTGCATATTGGAATTAATAAGAATATCCATTACTTGTTAATGAGTGTATGCTATTTGTGGTTATTACTCATTACTGATTGTGTGAACATTGATTAGTATGTCTCATTTTGTACACACTCTTAAATTAGCTAATAGCGGACTCTTCTGTATAAGTGATCAAAGTTCTATAGACTTCTAGTAGCGTTTCCTGTCTTTTTCTTGGGTAATTGACCTATGTTAGCATATCTTAGGTGATGTTGAGTCTCTTACCCCCCCCCCCTCTTCCATCTTTTAGCACCTCCACTGCTTAGCCCTCTGTGTTTGTCTCTCGTGGCATGAGGAAAAGGCTATCTTACAGTCACCAACCAAGCTTCATTATTTTTTTCATCCTTCTCTGGTTATGTTTCCATATTCTTGAGCATGAAAGTTGCAGTTGAGTGCACAAGAATATGTTGCATTGCTTGAGGGGTCGCATTTACTCAACAAATATCCCTTGATTACTAGAGATTTGACCTTAGAACATAGCTCATATTCTCAAAAGCTTTGGAAAAATTAGAGAAACTCCACTCATATAATCATCTAGGATTCAATAACCCAAAATCATGATCCAAACATGAAGAAATATTCCAAAGAAGCATAAACTTGCAAAAACATATATACAACTCAAAGATTATCCCTACCTTAAGCTTGGGAGATGAAGAGGAAGAAAACCCTAAACTCAAAATTGGTGAAAACTCGATCCAGTCGATTATAAACATAGCCCTCGCACCCTCTTCGATTTGGTGTAAAAAACCGTCTCAATTTCTTGACAATTTGAGCTAATTCTTAGAAAGAAGTTTTGATTTAGATATGTTTGTGGAGAGAAAGGAAAGAAAAGATGAGTATAGAGAGAGAGAAGTGAAAATCTGTACAAAACACGTTTTTGGCATCAATTTTGAGGGAAAAAAACACGAAATTTGAGACAAACCCACCGAAATCCGCAAAAGCGGATTTTTTTGCCTCCACAAGCAGATTGCTCCAAAGAGAAATTCAAAAATTTCACCAAAATCCGCTCGAGCGGGACCCAAAATCCCATCGAGTGGTTTTCTGCCCAGCAAACTTTGAAAAACCCTGTGAGAATCCGCTCGAGCGGTTGCCAAATCCGCACGAGCGATTTTGCCCAAAAACTCAAAATTTGATTTTGCAACCTAAGACAAGTTCCAATGCCCAAAACTCAAAATTTTCAATCCAGAAAAGTTACGAGAGGTTAAGTAAAAGTATAAAAAAATCTCAACGACCTATTATGACAAACAAAATACTGAAAGTAATGCACACTACCCTATTATACAACACTATTAAAGTCCAAGACCCGGGACATCACATATGAAAAATCTAGAAATCCCCTAGATGTTGATTTGTGATTATGTATCAATTTTAAGCAGTAAACAACAATCCCAATCAAACAATCAAGACAAATCGACACAACAATTTTACATGGAAAAACCACAATTGGACACCTCCAATTGTGATAAAAAAAAACCACGGGTAAAAGCCACAAAACAATCCACTAAAAAAACATAAAGGAATTACACAGGTATACTCTCAATTACCTAGCGAATCCACGCCCAAATTGAACCAACTCCTATGTGTCTCTTCCAACCCCGTCTTCACCTCGGAATTGTCTTGACGATGAGCCACTCCAGAATCCACCAAAGCTTCAGGCTCAAATTCTTCAGAATCCACCGAAGAACAACTCTCTCTTTTGTATAGAATGAACAAACGAACCTTTGATGTATTCTTCTTAACCCATGAGTTGAATACTCAATTAAACATCAAAGAAAACTAGCAAAATATCCCCAGATATAAACCTTAATATCCAAAAAGAAGATCTGGAGCAGTAATCCTAAAATCTAACAGAAACACATACTTATGGAAATCTGGGACTGCGAAGCTCGCTCGAGCGAAGACTCTCTCGCTCGAGCAAGGAACCAAAAACGTGTGTTTTCCATAAGTGGCTTCGCTCGAGCCAAACAACCTGCGCTCGAGCGTAAAATCATCATTCTCAGGTTTTTTGCCAGACGCAGCCTTTGCTCGGGTGAGAACTCCTTCGCTCGAGCGAGCAAGGGCGGACATGCAACTTCGAATGCAATTTTGCATTTTGCTTTGGGGGCGCTACCCCGGACCTGCCAAGGGATGCTGCCCCCTGGACCCCTGCGAGCTAACCAGGCAGCTCGATCCCCGTCATAATCAGCGAAGTGGCAATCTTGAAAGTATTAACATCACAAACTTCTCTACAAGGCATAATTCAGATTGGATTCGCATCTAAAAATTCATAGTCTCACTGAAATAAAAAGTGCGAAAATAAGTACAACTGAAAGGAGTTTTGTCAAACGGGATTGCCAAGAATAAAAACCTAACAATCTCCCCCTTTGGCAATGCTGTGACAAAACACACCTAACAAATAAAATCCTAATTACCCCAACCCATTACAGCCAACAAACACAAACTTTTTTCTCAAGGTTAAGATCTGCAAAAACAGCTATTAGTGCCACAATTTCCAAAACAACTATTAGTTCTACAAGAGTATATGAAAAAGCAATAAACATATGGCTAGATTATCTTGAAACATGAGATGGAAAAACATGAATAGATGCGACTTCACTACAAGAATTTACACAATTGGCGACTACTTTTGCCGACCAAAAAAATTTTGGTCGCAAAAAAATGATATTTGCCGACCAAAATATTAATTAGTCGCAAATGATCGTTATTTTTGGCGACCAAAATGAGTTGGTCGCAGAAAGTCACATTTTGGCGACCAAAAATGAGTTAGTCGTAGAAATTGGTATGCTTTTGGCGACCAACTTCAAATTTGGTCGCGGAAGGTTACATTTTGCCGACCAAAAAAAATTAGTCGCCAAAATTGTATTTTTAGCGACGAATATTTTAGTCGCCGTTGATTGAGATTTGGCGACTAAAAAAATTTGTCGGCGAAAGTACCTTTTCTGTGACTAATCTGGTCATTTGGTCGCGAAAAATTTGGGAGGGAAATTTGAAACATAGAGGGGGAAATGAAAATTTTTTGCGACAAAAAAAAATTTGGTCGCCACTTATAAAACGACGTCGTTTTGTACCCACTCCCCCTAAAAATTTGGTCGCCATTTCTAAGTGTTGCCATTTATGAACCCTAAACCGCTGTCCCCTTCCAACTCTCTCTCTTTCTTTCTCTCTCTCTCTCTGTCTCTAATGGAGAATGGGGACGAGTGGTTGGTCCCCGAATAAGCTACAACACATTCTCTTCTGCTTCTCCATCACCATTATTTTCTCTCTCCTCGCTTCCCTAACTCGCTATTCTTTCCTCTACCGCCGCACCATCTGGTTCGGCTCCATCATCTCCCTCTCCGCCGGCGCTGCCAAAGAGGTCGCCGACGAGCTTGGCTTCTTCAAGTCGGCCGGAGCCTCCTCCAAAGACGCTGTTGCTGATCTCCTTGGCATTCTTCTCGCTGTGCTCGTTCTTTCTCTCACCAAATCACTCTCCCTGCGGATCAAACCCAATCAATCGGGTCAAATTTGAGGGGTCGAGATAGTTTGATCGATGGCTTGGGTTCCAGTTTGTGTAATCGAGCATTTTGGAGTGATCAGGTTAGTCTGTATACAGTTGTCTGTTTGGTTTATGAGAAGATGATATACAAACAGAATTTTCTTACAAAAGTGAAGATTTGAAACTTGAAATAGGATCTATTGAATTTAAATACATAATAGGAACAACTCATTACCTATATCAGTTTGTTTTTAAATTTGTTTGTTCAGCATTACTCCCAAAAAAAAAATGAACCTTGGAATTGCTATTGGATTCAAAATTTTCATTTTCAAGCTAATTTCAAGAAAAAAAAAATGAATGGCTATTGGAATGAATTAGCCATTAATTTTCAATAGCAATTTCAGTAGAAGAAATGAAATGCTTATTCGGTTCTGTAAGTGTAGATTCAAATGTATAGTTGTTGCATTTTCTTACTGGTGAAGAATTTTTTGGCGGATTGATCAAGGTTAGTGCCTTGGTGGATTGAACAGGATGCATTTCTTCGGTCCCCTGGTTTCTTCTTCTTCTTTTTTCTTTTTTCTTTTTTGGTTGATTCTCCTCTCTCCTCTCACATCTCTCTTTGAATTTGATTTTCATTAAGGTGTTAGGAACTCTCGCAAAATATATGCACTGGCTCAGCTGTTCCTTTTTTTCGTGACTGGTCAATAATTAATCAATTCTGTGATATGAATTGATTTGTGCAGTGATATAATAACGTCGTTCTGTGATATGAATTGATTTGTGCAGTGATATAATAACGTCGTTCTGTGATATGAATTGATTTGTGCAGTGATATAATAACGTCGTTCTGTGATATGAATTGATTTGTGCAGTGATATAATAACGTCGTTCTGTGATATGAATTGATTTGTGCAGTGATGGTTGGTGGATCAGATACCTTATCATGTGCTCAATGTGGCAAACCTGCCCATCTTCAGTATGATATTATATTTATTTATTCTCTTTGATTTTATTCTCAACCATACATTATACATTACATACACACACAAGCACAGTTCAATGTATACTTGGATTGGGATGTTTTTTGTTTTACAATGTTGAGCAATCAATAAACAATTAGGGCATTTAGGAGGATTGATGGATTTTTTATTACTCAGAAAATAACTTATGGAGACCCTTTTTCTTACCTCCCCTGATATTTGAGAAAAATATAGTTAGCATAATTACACTCAACCTCCCTTTTGGTACAGTTGAGCATGCTATTTTTGTACATCTGTTTAATTTGGATTACCTATCATTCATTAGTTATTTTCATTTTGGTAATGGTTTTGTAACTCTCTTCCAGGTAAATCAACCCTTTAGTCTTACTAGACTTCTGTCACTCCAAGTTTTCAAAATTTGTAAAGTCTTACGTCTCATGAACGATTAAAGTGGAAGCTGAAAGTTTTATTCAATAAGTGATTATTAAATTTATAAAATTGATGATCCTTGGGGCAACAGAAACACCATTATTAACTTTCATGTTTTCAACCTCTGTGCTAATTTTTTTTTTGTGACTGGTAATGTTGTCACAAAAGGGTAGTGATGAGGTTGCAAACACTCTTATACTGCCAGCTTTCTTCTAGTATTTGAGGCCCTTTTTCCTGTTTGGTATGCAAGTGATTTATGCTTTTTATTTTCCCCAGTTGCGAAGATCACATTGCCCTGATTCAAATTTGATGAATAAAGAGCTAAAAGTGAGCTACGTTGCCCTGAATTACAACAGCCCAACAGTCAGACCAAACACAATGCCTTGAATTAAAGCTCACTTTTAGCTCTTTATTCATCAAATTTGAATTTGATGGATGAAAGAATTGGTGAAGGTCTGGTGACTGATTAATTAGAGGGCAGATGGTATGGATGTCATGGTATTGACTCTTCAATGTTTTATGTTCTCCAAATGTGGTTTTTGCAAATATATTATTTTTGGGATCTATCTCTTAATCTTGCAGTAGAGACCATGGGAACACAGCATCACTTGGAGGATAGTGGGATATGAGGCTTTGACTACACTATATTCCCATACTTCCGACAGCTTTAAGTTTCCAGCATGTTAGAGTGCTTATCATGTTGGAGGCTTGCAGCAATCAAATTTATGCACATAAACACAGTTAATCACATAGTTCAAAAACAAAAATGTACACCAATTTGTAGTGTAGTAAGAAATGACTAGTAATCAAACAGAAGTATTTTTTCTTGGCCAAATTACTATGTTGGGTGGAGAACTATGAACAGATGAGACCAAAGTAATATAAACGTACAACGCTTGAGCTCTTGAAGCCCTTGTTCCAGATTGGTCAACACCATCTTGCACTCTTCTTCCTCCCGGGGCGTTCGGGGACGTCTACACTCTTACAATAACTTAATTCCATAATTTCTTCTCTTCTTGGCCTGCAATTAATGGTGGTATGGATTAATAACTTAATTCCTGTCATGTACAGTTAAATAATGTACTTTGGATGCGGACTTTATTGCTTTTCTTCTGCATGTATCAATATACATTTTTTTTGGTGCATATGCTCTACCAAAATTTTCATGAACTTGAATGTTTGCAATGTAAGCTTGTTGTAGGGTTAAATAATGGTTTTTAATAAATTTAAAAATCTGAAGAGTTTAAATCAGTGGGAAACAACTTGTCAAGCTGCAGGATGATATACATTTTTAATACTAAATGCCTGTTTTAGCCACCAATTAGGCAGGCAACCATAGTTGATGTAGCAGATGAATATGCATTTGTTGGTCCTTTTGCTGATTAAATTGAGCAGTAGAAATATATATGAAAAGACTCCATTTTTTATCAAACAGTTTACTTGGGTTTGTCTTGAGATTGGGTGGGTCTCTTAGTGCTTTTGTCTTCCAAATCTGTAAACCAGTTATTGTTGTTTATTCTATAACTCTTTTTATTTTCTAATTTTTTTTTTATCAATTTGCCCCCCCTCATCTTTTCCTGGGGATAAGTTGGTTAGCCTGTGCACCTATGATTATTGTTAAAACCTTTTTCATTCTTGTCTGGTTGATTCTGCCATCATCCTTCTTCCAGCCTGCATCAGCCCCTGTTTACATCAATGTTGAGGAAACTCTGAACACTCTCAAATATGCTAATCGTGCTCGAAACATTCAGAATAAGCCTGTTGTAAGTAACCTTGATGATTATATGTTATTATTATTTTCTTTTTGTTAAATATTTCCACTTCACTATTTGGAGATGGATAGATTCTATTGGCATCAAGTTCTGTATCTTTTGATTTCTGAGGGAGCACATCATCTTGTTGTACAGGTTAACAGAGATGTTATGTCGAATGAGATGCAAAATATGCGGCAGCAGCTAGAGTACTTGCAGGCTGAACTTAATAAGGAGCTTTCTCGAGAACTACATGAATACCACAGCAGACGTGCTGTTGTAGAGCCGAGAGAAACAGATGCTGAAGTACGCTAATATAATTCCTTCTTTATCTTCGAAAAAGAAAAATAAAAGAATTATATATATATATATTGCAATTTTAACTTTCCTCTTTATTGCCACTAAATTGTGGTCAACAGACCATATTTATTGAGGTTTTGGTCATTACAATAGTTTGATTGATAGTTATTTTTTTTGGTCGGCGCTTGATTGATAGTTATGTGACATTTTCTATCTCAGGATGGCTCCTGTTTTGTTAAAAGGGATGGGCTAAAGAGGGGCTTACAGAGCATGGATGCATCTGGTTATCCCATGGGTGAAGCCATGACAGGTAAGCTACTTAGTTGTGAGATTATTTCAGATGAATGAGGCTAAAAGCAGAGGGGAATAAGCTTCAAGATGCCATACCCTTAGTTAATGCATGACAGACTTTGATTTTTCTGTCATTTAGTTGGCATGTTATCAGTTTTTATATTACAAGTATGTGTAAGAGAGGTGTGTTTAGTCTCTAAAACATGCGACTCATATTGCACTTTTCTAGTTCAGTTCTTTATGTTTCAAATGAATTTGCCAAAAATTGCAGGTGAAAATTACATGGAAATTGATGAAGCTGTAGCAAAAGAGTGGGAGCATGCACTCCTGCGAACAACGATGGGCAAAGAGTTTAATGAGTTAAACAAGCGTTTGGAGCAGAAAGAGGTTTCACTGATGGGCTTTGTTTTATGCAGTTTTCTGCCATACATTTGTTATGATATAGGCTCAACCCTTAACGGAGAACATGTGTTAAACATCTAATATGCCTTTTTTTTCTAATCTCCCGCATAAAAACTGGTTGTTGGGTCACACATCTTGAATATTCAATTTTTTCTCTATGAAAGTTGATACACCCAAAGCTAGTGTTTTAGTCTGTTATTTATGACATAGGCTTAAAGGAGAATACAACTAATGTACCTCTTTTTTGAGCAAAACTGCTGTTTTCGACCCTTACAATTTTACCCAAACTACAAGGGTGGATATGCCCAGAGCTAATGTTCTAATTTGTAATGTAAATAATTCTGCTATATATTATTTTTTTTTGGCTTAGGAAGCCTATTCCCCATTTTTGTCACTATTCCTTCCAAGAGATACAGCCGAGATGAAACTACAGGCTTGGGATTCTGATTTCTACAAAGTGTCTTGCTTTGCATCCTTAAAAATATATTCTTACTTTTTTAAAAGCTGTTGTTGCCTTATTTTCAAAGAATACATTGATAATAGTGGCCATTTAGTTTCATTCTTATGTCTACACACATTGACACATGTTCACATGATGCTTGTATGGGGCTGTCCACACACATTGATATCCATTAGGAGCTCAGCACTTGTCAGGGGGAAAGTATGAAGAGTGCTTCTAGTGGTTTGTTTCACATGATACGTGCATGGTGCTGTCCACTCACATTCATATCCATTAGGATCTCAGCACTGTGTCAGGGAGAAAATATGAAAGAGTGCTTCTAATGGTTTGTTGAAAGACAGAACTGATTATGATTATCATACATAATTAACGTCTGCGAACATGATAAATGTTTTTGTAAATTCAGGATCATCTTTCTAACACGCGTTTCACATGGGATTCAATATTAAAGAGATTGATGTTAGAGGCTACATGATATCTTCATCACTGCCATTGCCTGTTTATGCATTCAAGATTCAATGTTTATATCTTTAGCGGTATTTTTTATTTCTCTCTTGGGATAGAGCTCATCCACTTCTTTATATATATATATGTGTATAAATTTTTTTTATTTTATCCTTTTAATGTGTCATTTTATTAAAATAATGTAGGGAGACATGTTTTGTGGGTTACATGAATCCAAGGAACACTAATCAATGATCTTCAACAATGAAAATCTAACGACCAACAAAAAAGAGAAACTCCACAACACCAACTTAAATGTAGCAACATAATTACTAGAATTAGTACCACTGGAATCTAAAGTATTTTTTTGCCTGCTACTTTGATCTGCCACTGTAATTTTTACTGAACAATTTTTGTGAAATTTATTTGATTCCTTGGGAATTTTTTATATTTGACAATTGGTGAATGTTTGGAAATAGATTTTATTTTGTATTCCATTCTTGCAATTTACATTGTTTTTCTTAAAATTGTTTCTGTGACTTATGTGCAGTCAGAAATGAAACATTTTGGAGGGTCTAACACTGAAGCACTTAGTCAGCACTTTGAGAAGAGAATCTTGAAACTCGAGGAAGAGAAGAAAACAGTCCAGGTTATATGGAAAAATTTTAAAATTTTCCATTGTTAGTTGTCTATTTCATCACTACAGAAGGTGATGATGGTCTGTGATAACTACAGCAAGAGAGGGACCGTTTGCTAGCTAAAATTGAAAACCTTGCTGCTGCTTCTAATGGACAAAGGCAGAAAATGCACAAAGCTTATGCACAGAAATTAAAATCACTTGAGACACAGGTATTTTTTGCTCTCTCCAATGTCATTATGTTGTCTCAAACCTTTGTCATTATTTAAATGCTAAAAATTCCGACCCCCAACCCAACTTCAGATTTTAGATCTTAAGAAGAAACAAGATTGTCAACTTCAGCTTTTAAAGCAAAAACAAAGAAGTGATGAAGCAGCAAAGCAGCTTCAAGATGAGATAAAGACCATCAAGGTCCAGAAGGTTTGTTCTCATTCCAATGGTTGTATCAAGCAGACAGGACATAACCATGAAGCTGTTATTTATTATATGACTTTAGGATCCGTCATACTAATTTTCCCTTTCATTTGTAGGTTCAATTGCAGCATAAGATAAAACACGAGGCAGAGCAATTTCGACAATGGAAGGCCTCTCATGAGAAGGAATTGCTTCAGGTACTTGACGTTTCCCACTTATCCATGTAACCTGGGATTCTTCATTTTTAAAAAGCAAACATGTTTCACTTATAAAAGTTTTAACTTATGCATGCTTCGGATTTAATTAATCAAAAAGGAAAAAAAAAAAAGAAAAAGAAAGAGGCAAACAAGTTGAACATGTTATTCATGGTATGCACGTATATCATTGAATGTATTGTTGATGACGTTTTTTCTCAAGCAGTAAGGAAGGAAGGCAGAAGAAATCAATATGAGCAACATAAACTTCAAGCTTTAAATCAGCACCAGAAAATGGTAAAGATTTCTTTCGTACAAGTGCTTCAGTAAAATTATCTAGGGCCTTTCTATTTTTATTTTTATTTTTATTATCTGTGTCTGTACACATCACTAACTTCATTGAACAGTAAGCCTCGGTAGCTGATATGCTTTGAGACTCACTTTTTATTTCCTTAATTATTCTACATTTGGATAATGCATATGAATTATCAACAAGTTTCTAGAGCCTTTGTCAGGTTTGAAGGGCGTTACGATTTACGGGAAATAATTTCTCATTATGTTTAGTCCAATGTTGATGATTGAAATGCTTAACCAAATCCTCTCCATCTGCTTAAGCTTTTAGATTAGTTGTCTAACAGCATTGCATTTGGATCATCTCACCTCCTACCCTCAAACATAGATACAAGTACAAGAGAGTACTAGATTTCTGCTTGCATAACAGGTGAGGGAAACATTTCTTGTACATTGCTGTCAGTTGAATTGTACAAGAAAGTGCTAGTTTTGATTTTTGATCAAACTGGTTTTCACTGGACAAGTCCAATCAGTACACACACACATATATATATAGTCGAGACGTGTGAAATTGAGATTAATTTCTATTCATTAAGCCAACCCTTATATATAACCTTAGGTATGTTGCTGCTGTTCCTTCTACATATTCTGCTAATCCAAAACCCAAGTTTTCTTTCTGCCTTGGAGTTTGTTTAAGCGATCTCTGTAATGCTTTTTGCCTATATCTGCTGATCAAAAAATGCTATATGCCTATATCTTAACATTTTTAGTTAATTTCTTGTGAAATTTTTCTTGAAAAAAAATTCTTATTGGCAGGGATGTCTGAACTTCATATTCTTTAACATTTGTTTTGGGTGCTTTGACCATCTAATATTTATTTGCCCATAACTGAAATAAGTAATTCATGAATGGTTTGCATTTGCATTAATCATTTCCTGCACCAATTTCTTTTTTATGTGGTTTCACTTTGGAACTTTAACTATAGTTGACAAAGGTCGAAGTCTTTTTTATTTTTTATTTGTCTTTCACTATTGTAAATAAATAAATGCTTACTTTTTGGTTGAGATCTACCAAACTTGTAGTTAAATCATATTTGTTGACAACGGTTCAAGTCTTTGTTTAGATATTTTAAGTGGATAAATGCTAACTTTTTGTATTGAGATCTACCAAACTTGAATCATATTTGTTAAAAATTCTTATATGGTGCAGGCTAGAAATAATGCACGGATTATGATCGCTGGCTCTTTAGATATGTTCAGTAATGGGTTTGTATCGTCGTGCACTTAATCTGAACTTTGGAAGTTTCTCAGGATATTTGATCTCATTATTTAACGTTTGTCCTTTATGTGATTCAGATTGTTCAAATCAGGTGTGCAGAAGGCTGGGAGCTCAAATAAGTGAGTAATCCTCTGGTCAATCTTCATTCAGTACTTCTACATGCCAGCTTATTATCCAACTTGTTCTCTGACTTACAATCTAATGGTCCACATTTGTCTGTGTACATCCAAAACATGCATAAAAATGAATAGATGAGACAAAAGTTAAATGCATTAAAGAAGCGTTGAACAGTACCACTCATGAATGTGCTTGTGTCTGTGTGTAAGAGAGAGAGAGAGAGAGAGAGAGAGAGAGAGATAGATAGATCAGATGTGGTGCCCTGTACCGCCATAGTTTTTGAACACTTAAAAGTGGATTTTCCATTGCAAATTCATCTGTACTTGGTGATCTTTCCTTTGTATTCTTCTACTGTGGTATTGTTCCTTTTGGTTGGTCAATTGCCATACATCTAGAGTGGGCCATTCATCCTGTATTTTAATTGGTATTTGAATAACTAAAAAAGTAGAAGAAACTTATCTTAAGTGGTGGTTCCATCAAAGTGTACAAAGTACCCAACCTTGGGCCTTTAGGCACAACCTCAAAGAGTGGCTTGTCCTTATACTTGAACCACATTCTGCTGCCAGATGCTTGATTCCTTAACCTTTACTATTGTATCAAGCGCTTTACCCTCAAGATATGGACACTACAAAATTAGGTCTAAAGTGATTGTGCCATTGTTACATTGAGGTGTGGAAGTGGAAGAGTTATGTGTGGCCTACTAGATACCTATATTATATAATTTTCTTTGTTCCTTGGGAAATGACCTAAAATCAATGATTATTACTACATTAGAGTTATCAGCAGAAAATAAGGTCATGATTCATCTAGTTGCTGTTGGTGGTGTACATATCTATCGCAGTTTGTATTTTGATATTACCGTTTTCATAATAATTTATCTTTCTATTCATTACTTTCTTTTTTTATGTTTTTCAACTTAAACATCTAAAGTCAATAAATCAATGCTTGCATTTCTGATAGATTCTATATTCAATGAAACAGGCCCCTGTACTTTTCAAAGGGATTGGCCATTCATTAAATTCTGCCAATAACTTGGTAAGGTTAAAGGTCTTTTTGTTTGTCTTTTGCTTTATCTAGTTTTATGTCCTAGTTAGAAGCATGCACATAGAGTGACTCAAAGTGTTCGGTGGATTTGTGTTGAGGAATTCACTTTTGTGATATCTTATGTAATTTGTAGGCTATGAAAGTTCTTGGAGCCTCTCCTTCTGCATATTCTGCTAATCCAAAATCCAAGTTGTCAAATCCTCCGTCCCTTACCGGATCTGCTATATCATTGGTTTCAGTTGTGCAGGTTTAAGGAACATACTGATCTTGAATGGATGAATTAAGGAATTGTTGACTTTAATTATGTATTTTTATATTTTATATATTTTAATTTTTTTCTAGATTGTACTAGATGATCTTTCAAGGGCTAGAGAAGGATTTGTGCTTGCATCTGATTTGCATTTAGTATACTTAGTTACACCCACCAATGTTGAAGTTGAGCCAGATTGGAAATTATACTATGAAAGATTCATGCAATTGTCTACTCTTGACCAGGTAAGCTTGTTTCTCATCACCATTGGGCATCTATAGTCCCAGTTGACATGTTCATTCTTGAATACTAATTGCTAAGTTTGCAGAATGTGTGGCTTAAGCTTCAGCTTTTCCTTTCAGTTTGTTTAATTTATTACAAGCAGATCTTACCTGACAGTAAGATTGGAGCTAGTCATATGGTTATATGGCATTGACGATTTCCAAGAAATGTTATGCATTTCTCCTTGTATCTCAGTGTATACATGTATGTACTTATGGATTTATGCTTTTTTAAAAGAGTTCTATGATCCTTCATAATTGTGGAGGGTTTCACATGAAAGACCCCCAAACTTATTCATCAATGGTTTAGGAAATTTCTACAGAAAACTGGGTATTGTTAAGGAAGAAGGATGATTTTATTTTTTCAAAATATAAGTCGAGGGGAATTATTTCTTTGTTTTGGATTAATGGGATGAGATATCTATATATATATTTTTTTTTATAACAAACAACAAATACATGAGAAAGGCTATGGGTAACCCCTTAAAGGTTGCATAGCATATGCCGCTTTGTAATTACACTACAATGATTCATAACAAAACCACAATGGCTCATAACTTTTCTCACCAACACTTTTTATAATGATTCGTAATTAACACCACTTAATCACTACAATTCCTAATTAACACCACAAAAATAGTAACTTTTTGTGTAGCATAACCTTTCCCTAAATGTATAAACATATTTGCATTCACAGGTATATGTCAATACACATTACATATACTCTTATACATATACATATAGCAAATTACAGCCAAAATTTAAAAGACTAACCAGCAGGAAGCCCCAATAATCCTCGTCCTACAGCTTTCCAATACTGTCAGGTTACTAAAACATTGATAAATTATACCAAAACATACAAAAATTCAATAAAAAGGAGCAAAACAAAGAAATTGATAAGATTACCGAGCATTCCTTTGGATTTTTCCGGAAAATACTGAAAAGCAGAATCACAATCGGAGCCTCAATAATCTGAAATTTTCACCCAAAAAACAGAATTCTGATACTGAAATGTATTTGGAATCAGTATAAGAAAAGTGTGAAAATACCCAGATCAGACGGAGGGTTTGAGAAGGATCTGAAATGAGATTGGTGGAGTAGACTTTGTGGGCTATCCATAGTGCTGACGCAAGCCCTAATCCGCATATCAGATGCACCAGAAAGGCCTGCCATGGTGACGGTGACGGTGACG